CCTCCTTGGACGTTTTTGTCACTTATTCTCCTTCCTTCCCATGTAATTATTTTGGGCCTGCTTGGATAACTTAGGATAATTTTCATATTTTAAGATTAACTTATTAACATCTTTAATTCCCTTGTGCTGTGAAATGGAGTCACAAGCGTGACAGCAGGCAATAGGATGAGGACGTCTTTGAGGATGTCTTTGGGGGCTGTTATTCTACCTACAAAAGTAATTAAAAGTAGCTGAAAGGTTATCTATTCAGAAAGTTCAGAGTCCTGACTGTTTGTAGATGAACTTTATGGAATTTCAAGACTAATTTTCCTACTGTATAACTTGTTACAGAACAAATACCTTTTGATTCAATTATTATACAGTCATGTATTAGCCTCTAGATAAGAAATGTGTTAAAGAGACTGATTATTGGCTAAAAGAATGAGTTATGAATTGGGCTGCGCCCAGACAGAGTAGGTTCTAAGCGGCTGCAGTGGTGCTGTGTGATTGGATAGAATGTTCAGACAGGAGGGAGCAATGATGTGATGGCACAGGCCTGTGTAGTCCCAGCACTCTGGGACCAGACCCCTTCTCTACCAAAAAATAAAAAAATTAACTAGATGTGGCAGCCCACACCTGTGATCCCAGCTGCTTGGGATTGCTTGGAAGATTGCTTGAGCCTAGGAGTTTGAGGCTGTGGTGAGCTATAGTCATGCCATTGCACTCTAGCGTGGGTGGCAGATCAAAGACCCTACCTCTAAAAAAAAAACAACCCAAAAATATGAAAACGGAATTCTTCCAGACTGAGTTCTGCAAGGGAAAAAAAGAAAAGAAAATAGAAGTGAGATACAGAAACAGCTGGATTAGTTACAGCCTGCACTTGCACTTGTCTTATTTGGAGGTGATCTGAGCAGTTTGCCACCCTTGGCCGGAATGCAGTGGCCAGCAGCACAGTCTGCTCGTGCATCCGGTTAGGTTACAGTTCACTTTGTGTGGAGAAATGTTTAGGCTGCACTTAAAATACGTAAGGAGGCAGCTCTAGGCTACTGACTGTGACATGGCTAACAGTCCTTGGCCACTTTCTGGAAGCAGCCTGTGCATTTGCTGCTCTTGCTTCCACGCAGACAACAGGCCTGGTCACTTGTGTTGGGCCCGGCGTGACACATGGTGGAGGGATGCCCTGGGCTGCTCAGGGCTAGCCCGGGGCCATGCCCTTTGTAGTGGTTGTGATCCCTTTCTTTATGGACACATATCCAGCACCATTGTGACGTGAGTAGATGCTAGAAAATTGTCATGTACAGAGTAGCCTTAGAACCCTCAGTAACTGATGGTTGACATGAGGTAAGTGTAGTCTCCATTTGTTAGTGTTACTAAGGTAGAAAATACAGTGGAAAGTACCAGCTTATGTCTATTGGAAGAAAGAATTACAGAATTATTATTATTATTTTTTTTCAGTTTTTGGCTGGGGCTGGGTTTGAACCTGCCACTTCTGACATATGGGTCTGGTGACCTACTCCTTTGAGCCACAGATACCGCCCCAAAATTATTTTCTAAACCCTGATGTAGTAACTGATTTAGGCAAGTGTTGTGCATGGAGATGGAAACACCAGGTTAACTGTGGTCCAGAGACAGAACAGCAGCACGGAGCTGGGGGACCAGCTATGAATCATTTACTCAGCGCAGGTGGGGAGCGACAGGTTTGTTCAGTGACGGACTGTGTGTTGTGACAGTGGTCCAGAAGGGGGGAACTCAGTTTCCTGGTAAGTCCACTTGTTGGAGTATTTTGCAGTGGCTTGATGTTAAGAAGGTGGCAGAGAAACTTAGGTTCAGCGTTGGCCACCTCTTAGAAGGATTTTTTCCCCCTCCATTGAATTCTGCTTACATTTGGTTTCTTGACAGCCAGGCACTTATTTAAAGAGCAGTCCCTTGAAGGTCCCTTTGGACCTAATCACAGAATCCCCATAGGCACAATATTACCTGCACTGGCACCACACACAGATGCACACGTGCCCACCTGGTACACACAAATGCACATGTGCTCACACAGTAATGTGGCGCACACACGTATGGAAAAGGAGTGATTCCTTTCTTTCCTATAGTAAAGGTTCACAGCTGACACCCCTGTAACAAAGAGCAAGTTAATGGGAGAAGCATAACAAATTCATAACTTGCACACGTGTGCATGGCATTCATACAAAATATGAACTCTAAGAGGGACGGGATGACTGAGGCCTAAATGTCCACTTTATAGTGGAAAGGGAAATGAGGGCAGGACTGGCAGTGTTAGTAAGTGGTTGTCTCTGTTTATCATGAGATAAGGGCCTAGTCAGTCTCCTGCTGCTGCCGCCTTCAGAAGAACAGGTGGAAAGTCTGGGCGCAGTGAGGCTCCAGTCTCTCCCCTGGTTGAACTTTCCTACTTACTTGATGAGATTCCCAGGGAGAGTGTCTTGAGACAATTGCATTTCTTTTGGAAAGAAGCTTTCTGAGTATGCTGAGGGAAGAGTGTCAGAGAGACAGGGAGGTAGGGAAAGGTCAGAGACCAAGAGACCTTGGTTCTGAGGCTTATTTTGGAGACCTTTCAGTTTTTGGCCTGGGATGGGTTTGAACCTCCCACCTCCCATATGTGGGGCCAGTGCCCTACTCCTTTGAGCCACAGGTGCCACCCATAAAACTCTCTCTTAAAAAAAAATGCATATGTATACATATCATAAGAAACATCAAATAATTGCCCCTTGTTTGGCTCTTTCCACTTTGGGTCATCCTACGTCTCCAGCTTCTCAGAGGGCCTTTTCTCAGTTTTGTGCTTGAAAGTCAGAGCTTTCTCTCAGAGTTTTAGCCCTCTGTGTTGTGAAGGTCCACATGGCGGGGGCGGATCTCCGGCAAAACTGGGAGAGAAAAAAGAGAGTGACGATCCTGAGCGTCCATATCCTGTCTCAGGAGCCTGTCCTCCCATACATCCCACTTGGGTGGCGGGCAGTGGCTGCAGCGCAGTATCCTGAGGGCTGGGAGCCCTGAAAAGGGGGGAGAAGCCTTGGTAGAGCCCCTGGCTGTGGCTGGGGAGGGAGTGTTTCTTTTTGAGCCTGCTCTCTGCATCATGTGTGTAGTGTGTGTGGAGTCTCGGCTCTGACAAGACTGATTTGGCCTTCAAGAGCCTGTTTTATTTTATTTCATTTATTTTATTTATTGAGATGGAGTCTCACTCTGTCAGCTGGGCATGAGCTGGCGTCAGCCTAGTCACAGCAACCTCAACCTCCTGGGCTTAAGCGATTCTCCTGTCTTAGCCTCCAGAGTAGCTGGGACTATAGGCGCCCGCCACAACACCTAGCTAGTTTTTCTGATTTTTAGTAGAGACACGGTCTCACTCTTGCTCAGACTGGTCTTGAACTTCTGAGCTCAAGGGATACTCCCAGAGTGCTAGATTATAGGCGTGAGCCACCATGTTCCACCCAAGAGTCTATTTTTGATGTCTGAAGCTAAGCTGCCTTTCTCTTGAAACAGCGTGTGCTTCCGCCCCATTGGCTGTAAGTCTGCAAAGAACAATTAACAGGAATGAAAGTGCACTGGTTGCTAGTCAGTCATTGTTCCCTGCTGAGCTGTGCAGCTAGCCATTGTGAGTGTGCACCTGTGCAGGGTGTTGCCACGTCTGCCATGCCTTTTGGCCTGTGGGTCCTGTCCATGGTTTTCATGATGTGCTGTCTGTCGGAGTCTTCCAGGCATGATAGAGTTCTTGGAGATTCACTGTTGTACCCTCTTAAAAAGCAGAAAGAAGCAGTCTTCCATAACACTGCCCTATTTCTAAAGTATACTTGCACAGAGTGCATTAGAGTTGCCTTCCAAGGGCTGTGTCCTCCTCAGGTGGGCTTGCCTGGATAGTGGGCGGTGATGCCTTGCTAGAAGGGCTGCTTGGCTTTGCATACCACCTTTGGACTCCAAGGGCCGGTGCTGTGATCTCAGACCTCTGGTCCTCAGGGCAGACTTTCTGGGTATGGTTTTCTTCTGTGCTTATAGGGCCCTTCTGTGGGTTGTCTGGCTGTGATCCAGATTGGGCTCTGGGCCTGGCTGGTTGATTTGGAAAACTTATTTCCCTGTGTAAATAAAGTTTTATTTTGCCTCTGTCCCTTAGTTATGGTTTCACTGTGGGTTTTGGTTGGGTTTATTTGTCTTCTATATGAAGTTTAAAGCAGAAATCTGCTTTCTTACCATTTACGTTGAGATGGTACTCCCCCAACGTTTGAAAAATTAAGATAGCACTTGTTGAATCTCTGGTGTGGTTTCCGAGAACTTGACTGCTCTCAAAAAGGTAAGTTTTTATTGTGGAAAGATAAATTGTTTTTGTGGTTGGAAGATACCATGAACAGTGTTGGTGCTTGGCTGCCTGTGTTTTGGAATCAAGAGGATTGTTGAGCTCTGAAAGTGTTCTGGAGATTTATTTTTATTGAATAGAAAGTTTAAAGAAAGGGAATCATAGAGAATAAACGGGTCATGGTATCATTCCTCTATATATGAAGTCTGACAACAAACCAAGGGGTGGGATTCGTACCTTTCGGTGTATGGACAACTGTATACCATGAAAAGTCACTTTCCAGCCTTGAGTGATGAATATAAAGTTGTATAACATGGAGTAAATATTACTTGGAGGTGCATTTTTATGCTAATATTTCAGGTGATTAATTTTTTTCTTATTACGGAATTAGGTAGTGCTGGTTATGCTGTCTGGCTATACCTCCCCAGGAAAGGTGTTAGCAGAGCTCTTAGGGCTGGGTGACTGTGGCCCCTGTGCCTAGCGCAGGCTTCCTTGGGCAACCTTTCTTTACCCCTTACCTAATTTATGTTTTTGAAAAAGAAAGGTAGTGTCACTGTGCAGTATTATTGATTAATGGTTGGCCTCAGCTGAAGGCAGATTAGTTTGAGGAACAAAATGTGTGATCAGTAACATAAGGACAGGAGTGTCTGAGCAAAGTGCTCACACTGCACCAGGAGCCGCCGGCCTGTCTCAGCTCTCTGCTCTCACCTTTGACTAGGTACCAGCTGGAGGATGAGTCTGCCCATTTGGACGAGATGCCACTGATGATGTCTGAAGAAGGCTTTGAGAATGACGAAAGTGATTACCACACGTTACCACGAGCTAGGGTCACGCAGAGAAAAAGAGGACTGGAGTGGTTTGTCTGTGGTGGCTGGAAATTCCTCTGTGCCAGGTTTGTTACCCATTCCTTCCTCATTTCCTAGATTCTGACAGACTTATTAGAGACATTGGTACATGGAGACATAAAAATGCAGGAGATCACATGGAGAGTGCTGATAGCACTGAATGGAACAAGACAGTGCTAATCTGAAAGGAAGGGAAAGTGAAAGTTGTCATTTTGTGGGAAGTTTTAATGGTTAAAGGCTGGAGAAAATAAGTTGATTTTATAGTTAATTTGTGGTAGGATTAATTCTGGCCACTGCATCATCAGTGTTTGTGATGTCCCTTTATCATCCAAAAAGATAGATAGAGGCCTATAATACGCAATTTAATAACACTGTAGTTATGCGTATTCACCACATTTAATATTTTTACTTGGAATAAAATTTCTCTATTTAATCAGCAAAATACCAAGATAAGCACTCCTTGTATTTCAAACAAGGGATGGTTGAGATCAGCTGGTACAGTTCATCTTTGACCAGAGTGTGTCACATACACCTGAGACACCTCACCTGCTGCTGGGACAGGCAGGACGAGCTCACAACCAAATAGTGCCGCAGAACTGCAGCAGATGTCAGTAAATTGTCACATTTACTGTCTCTGCTATTGGGGGTTTATAGTTCACCTTTGTAGCTGTTATGAATTTATATCCTTTTATCCATAAAAGAAAGATAAGTACTTGTTAAAAGTTATCTTGTTCATCATCCTTTTCGTTATCCTTTTAGAAGTTTACAGAAAGATATTTATGTAACTGATTTGACTTCTAATGTAGCTGGTGAGGTGGTATAGGAGACATGCAAACCCAAGCTATGCGGAGTCCCCCGAATTTTGAGGCATCCCTTTGAAATTAGCAGCATGGAATATGGTTATGAGGCTGAGCAAGGTGCAGGTTCATTATTCCCCAGTCAGCTTTTGGGGAAAGCACAGTTGTCTTTGTCTTTGCGTATGTAAGCATTCGTGTGAAGAAAGAATTGCCTGGCTAAACAGTGTTTTCAAAGTTGCTGACAGTGTTAAGTCTTATAATTAATGATAAGGGGCTATGGCTCATTTAAAACATTTCCTAGGTTAAGTAGCCAATATTCCAACATTTCTGGTATATTCTTTGTGGATATAGAAATAATTATAGAATTAATTTTTTAACTGATAAGAGACTTCAGACTTCTTGTCATTTATAATTACTTGTGTTTTTTTTTTTTTTTTTTTTTTTGAGACAGAGCCTCAAGCTGTCCCCCTGGGTAGGGTGCCATGGCATTACAGCTCACAGCAACCTCCAACTCCTGGGCTCAAGCGAGTCTCCTGCCTCTGCCTCCCAAGTAGCTGGGACCACAGGCGCCCGCCATAACGCCCGGCCATTTTTTGGTTGCAGCCGTCATTGTTGTTTGGCAGGTCCGGGCTGGGGATTCGAACCCGCCACCTTAGGTGTACGTGGCTGGCTCCCCAGCCGGTTGAGCCACAGGCATCGAGCCATTACTTGTGTTTTTAAGGAATTTATCTTTTTTCAAATTTATGTTGGCATAAAGTTATTTGTAGTATCTTCCTGAGATCTAGCTAATGTATGAGATCTGTAGTGATGGGACGTTTTATTTTTGGAGACAGAGTCTCACTCTGTCACCTACGCTAGAATGCAGTGGTATCAGCCCCACTCACAGGAACCTCAATCTCTTGGGCTGATGGGATCCTCCTGCCTCAGCCTCCAGAGTAACTGGGGCAATAGGTGTGAGCCATCACTCCTTGCTCATTTTTATATTTTTAGTAGAGACAGGGTCTTGCTCTTGCTCAGGCTGGTCTCAAACTCCTGAGCTCAAAGAAGCTCCTTGCCTCAGCCTCCCAAGAGTGCTGAGATTATGAGAGTGAGCCACCTCCTCAAATTGTGATAGTATCTTTTAAAAATTCCTGATAATGGTATTTATGTTTTTAAAAATTAATCTTGATGGGAGATTATCAGTTTTTTACTCAGATTCAGCAATTTTTTTAATGTTTTGCCACACTTATTTTTTCATTCTTTCTATATTTTTCTGAGTCATTTCAGACTTAGGTTGATTACTTCATTCCTCTTTACTTCTGAGACATGTTTGTTCAGTGTTTATTCTTCAGTGTTTATTTCTTATTTCTTATGTAACTATGGTACATCAGTTTAGATGTACTGAACACAGACTGGAAGCAGATGTGCAGTATCAGTTCTCTTGTCTCTCCTTATTCTTAAAAGATTTGGCTTTCATTCTTCTTACTTTAAAGGAAGGACTGGGCTGTGGTCTCGTGTTTAGCGTAGTAGAAAAGTGATGGCTGGTACCACTTGTATGGAGTGTGAGAAGAAGTGGTGGTTGTTGGTCCTTTGGTGTAGTGGGTCCAAGTTTGTGATTCTTACTTGTCTACAAATGGCACAATTCTGTTTCCCTTTTTGCAGTAGCCCAAAAAGTCCACGTTGAGGCTAATTTTGGGAGGAAGAGACAGTGGAGAATATTGGGAATTCCCAACACAAAAACTTGTAAGATGCAACTGTCTATCCGTCAGATGTGAACTTTGATTTAACAGCTGTTTCTCCTCACACTCCAGTGTGTGCATAGGATTACCCTAACACTATTCTCTTAAGGACAAACAGGCTCTAACAACATAGGGAATTTCCATCACAGTCTGCAGTGATCAGTCAAATGGGAATTTTTATTTGACACTTGTCTCCTTCTACCTAGGTTTATAGCCAAAAGTTAACCACTCATCCAAAGTTTTCTTCCAAGGGATTTTGAGATGGAGCTTCCTTATGTTGCAGCAAAACTCACAAATGCTAGACATGCAGAGATCCTCCACACAAATGCCAGGGCCTGTCATACACAGATGGGGATCCAGGAGGACAGATGCCATCCTAGTGGCACCTCATACGGCACCTCAGGTGCTGTGCCACAGGGCTGGGAGGTTCACCAGTGGGAATCCAGACAGGATAAACATCACACCAAACAGCTGGAAGGTCAAGACCCTCCCTCCGGAAACGTATGGCCTACTCCTTCCTTTTTCCTGGGCCATAAGTAGATAGCCGAATGCCTCGTTCTTTAGGAGCCACAAAATGAGCTCCAGATTCAAATCACCTTCTCTAATTCTACTTAACCTCATGACTTCACCCCCAAATGGCACCTGCAAAACCAACGAGAGGGTCTGAAACCCCCCATATGGGTGAGGCAGTGGAATCAGGGTCTTAGCATGCAGGCCAGAGAACTTACCCAGGGTAAGGCCCAGCGTCTTGACAGTTTCCCAGTCCACTTCCTTCTCAACTCAGGTTATGGGGCAGGGGTCTTCAGACTTTTTAAATGGGGCCATTGAACTGTTCCTCAGACCGTTGGAGGGCCGGACTGCAGGCCCCAGGACAAATTGGCTGCTAAGTAGGACAGGCAGCGGGGGCAAAATCATCCGGTGGGCCGGATAAATGTCCTCGGTGGGCCACATGTGGCCTGTAGGCCGTAGTTTGAGGAAGCCTGTTATGAGGAGTTAAGTCTACTTTGGGGAGACACAGATGGGAGTTCCCCAGAGATGACAAAGGCTCTGGCAGCTGTCGGGGCCATCCCTTGTTCTCTCACCTCAAAGAGAAGTTATTCTAACTATAAAGACCCACGGCTGTGACTCCGGCTGCTCCCTACCACCTCCAGCAGTTGTGGCGCCATTCTACCTGAGCGCTTGGGGCCCTCAGGGACACCCAGTTCTGTTACCAACAGAACTTGTCTCCGAACACATCGGAAAAACGAAGACAAGTGGTTTGAAGAGAAGGAATTTCTTTTTTTCTTTCCTTTTTTTTTTTTTTTGAGACAGAGTCTCACTTTTGTCGCCCTTGGTAGAGTGCTGTGGCATCAAGCTCACAGCAACCTCCAACTCTTGGGCTTAGGTGATTCTCTTGCCTCAGCCTCTCAAGTAGTTGGGACTACAGGTGCCTGCCACAATACTTGGCTATTTGTTTTTTGTTGTTGTTGTTGTTGCTATAGTTTGGCTGGGGCCAGGTTTGAACATGTGATCCTTGGTATATGGGGCCGGTGCCCTACTCACTCAGCCACAGGCGCCTCCCAAGGAGAAGAAATTTATTAATTTGCTGGTAAATGAGGGAGCTGACAGACTCCAGTCTCAAAACATCTTAGCATTTTATTTCTTTAATGTTGATACTGCTGTATCACAAAGCAATCATCTTATCTTTAGCAAAACAAGATAATTTTGCAATTCCTGATCCTTATTAAAAATGTGTTTCCTTACCTCATCCTTTTCTCAGTCTTCTTTGACATAATGAGCTGTTGGGCAGACAGAGCTGAACAAATACTCTGGGGCTGTGCAGCTGTTCACAAATTCTACTTCAAACAGAAACAATGCTCACTGTCAAAAGCTAACAACAGACGGGCACACGCGATCCCCATCAACTCTCACCGACCAGCCTCATGTGGTAGTGGTGCCAGTCAGAGGGGGGCGTCAGAACTGAATAACGAGGGTGGCAGGCGTCAGTGTAGCTGTTAGGGCTCACTAGTGCTCTGATTGTGCCAGTCAGTGTGTAAAAAGCGAACAAAAATGTGTTAATAAAAATAAAAGAATTTGCTCTGTAAAATTTGGATTCAGTCAAAAGTCCTCACTTAAGGGCCTAGAAGGCCACATAGACTGCCGATTCCCCACCTGGGACTCTTCCCTGCCAGCACTGCAGTGGGTAATGGGTTGTGGGGTTGGGGGTAGTCTTAACATGGGATAGACTGTTTCTTCCCACTCCATTATTTTTCAGAATTCTTTGAGTGGAGTGCCAGTTCCTTTGCCTTTCCATATAAGTTTTATTTTCAAACTTATTAATCTTAATTTTTATTATTTAAAAAAAATTTATTATTTGGAGATGATATCTTATTCTTGCACCCTTACTGCCGTGCCCAGGGCAGATATAGTTCATTGTAGTCTCAACCTCCTGGCCTCAGGTGATCCTCCTGCTTCAGCCTCCTGAGACTCTTGTGCCACCGTGCATGGCTTCTATAGAAATTTTCAAATAATCTTGTCCATATCTATAAAATAGTTATTGGTATTTTTTTTTAAAGGAATTGTGCCAAATGTATATATTATTTGGGAGAATTAACATCATTTCTGTGTTTAATCTTTCAGATCATAAACATGGTACCTCTCTCTAATTATTTAATACATTTTGATCTTGCCATTGTTTTATAGTTTTTAGCATGCAAATGTTAGATTGTCTCTAGGTGTTTAGTTTTGAGTGATCATATTCCTGTGATGTTTTAAATTTTGGTTGCTACATGTTCGTAGATAGTGTGTAGAAATTCAGTTTTTTGTGTTTATCTTTTATCTGGTAGCCTTATTAAAATTGCTTATTTGTGCTAGGAGTTTTTCTTTAGATTGCTGTGATCTAGAGAGTGGTGTGGTCTGCATGTGCAGAGTGCTGTCTCTCCTGTGTACACAGTGGTATCTGTGTGTGCAGGGTGCTGCCTCTCTGTGCCCAGTGGTGCCATCTACATGTGCGGGGTGCTGTCTCCCTATGCTCAGTGGTGCTGTCTGTGTGTGCAGGGTGCTATCTCTCCTGTGTACACAGTGGTATCTGTGTGTGCAGGGTGCTGCCTCTCTGTGCCCAGTGGTGCTGTCTGCAGAACCCCGACACCACTGCAAATTAGAATTGAAATAGTTACTGCACAGATGGAGATGGCTATGTGGAAATGTGATCAAGCTCCTATTATCATTAGGATATCTTATTAAACATTAGTATCCTTTTAAAATATTGAATTGAGCTACAAGTCTTATAATAGATAATATTACTAAAAAAGGTCATGTTTTAAAAAAAGAAAAAGTGATCAATTTAGAGAAGAGAGAGGGCCACGTTCTGGATTAATTGTTATCTAAGAATGTTTATCATCAGATCATTGAATGGTATATTGAGGATTACTGAACTCCACCTTTTCCTAACATATAAAGCACTAATGGCTTCAGAATATTAATTGTTTTATTTTGCCAATGAGATAATTCTCCTTGGGCTACAGAAGCCATTGTACATTTACTTGAGACTTAGTATTTTTATGTCAAATTTAAATTTGTGTAACTGACCTATTTTGATAAAAACTTCACAGATTAGCATTAGGGATGCTATTAGTATCTAATAAATACAGAAACAATCAATATTGACTATAAATGCATTGAATTAGTTTCAACTTAAATGCATACACAATATGTATCTTTTGTTTCATGCAGTTGCTGTGATTGGCTGATAAATATTTGTCAAAGAAAGAAAGAACTGAAAGCTCGCACGGTATGGCTTGGATGTCCTGAAAAGTGTGAAGAAAAACATCCCAGGAATTCTATAAAAAATCAGAAATACAATGTGTTTACCTTTATCCCTGGGGTAAGACCATCCTGTCCTTGAAGGTGTCTGTCAGGGTGTGCCCTGTGCGCTGGGGAGGGGCCTGTGGAGGCTGACGCAGTGGTCCCTGTGCCAGCTCACATCAGTGTGCTTTTTCTCTTTTTCAAGTGGTTGTTAAATAGTTCTTGTGTGTTCCTGATGGAGTTTGATTATCACTTTCAGTTCTTGACAAACATGTTTATATTGTTATAGGAATACGTTAGTGTAGAAATAATGAAGTAAAGCTAAATGGAATTATCAGAAAATTAAGTTATAAATTTTGTTTGGCCAGGAATTTGTTTGGAGGGAAAGTGGAATGTAATATTTAAAGCTTGCCAAGGAATTTTATAAACAAAGTTAAACAGTTTTTTACACAGCAGTGACACAGTAACAAAATGTCTCTAAGTAAGTACTTTACATCAGGTATCTTTGCTACCTCCCTGTGTATCTCAGGCCTTAACAAGTGTTATGTCATTGATTATCTTTAATTAGGTATTGTGCTAAATTTAAATACTGAAGTTTAAATATTTTACTTTATTATTAGTATATGTGTGTTATTGGTTTAGATTATAAAACTGAGTCTGTGTTTGGAGTAGTTGGATAGCTTTTGTGTTTTGCATGTTATTCCATATTTTAATAGACACTACCAGGGCTGGCACTGACTGTATTTCTATGTCAAGTTTTTGGTATGTTTTAGATACTGACTTTTATTCTGATTGCAAGAAAAGCTCTTCATTATGTGGAATGAGGGTTGCTTTATCTTGTGTATATTAGTTCAAGTAATCATGCTGACTTTATACCGAGCTCTGGTCCCCATAGCCTGCCCTCCTGTCTACTCAATGATTGTCGAATGCTTAATATCTAATGTGCTTCTTTACCAAAACACACAAAACTAGTGACTCCATAATTAAAAGTGATCTTTTGTCAGGATGATAAAATATAAACTGTTCTTCTGCCAGATAAATATTATCTTTATTGAATGAAGCCACTGATTTCTGCTTAGGTTTAAATTATTAAATACTTAGAGATTGGCTAAGCAGTATACATTTCCTAAAGTCAGGTTCGTTCAGTTGACAGTATTGATGACAGTGGTTTAAAGCCAGCAGTGCAGCCCACATTGGCTATCGCCTGAAAATACCTGTTGGTGCGACTGTACAGTCATTACCATGTGCATGATTTTTTTTCTTAGATTGTCTCTCAAATTAGTCTTTTCATTTAAAATGTATTTTAAAAACATTTGGTAATTACATAGTTGGAATTCTATGCAATTTTTACCATAAATAGCAATTTCTGAATTGCTAATAGATGTAATTTATTCTGAGATTTTAAAGAAATCACTAAGGAAAAAGAGCTTTCTTTCCTGCTGAGATTGATTTATGAAATAATTCAAAACATTTTAGACATCAATTGAGCATGATTGTAAATATAAACAGGTTATCGATGTAACTGATCTTTTAGTCACAAACGTATGATAGAATGGTAGAGGTAACCTCATTATCCTAAAGCTATGGACCCAGACTTTTTCAGCACTTACATTGCTCTGCTCTTGTTGGAATTTCTGTACCTCCCAACTTGCATAAAAAACGACATCCAAGGAGATTTTTGATTTGTAAGTTGCAGGTTTGCAAGCTTCCCTGTAAGTTTACTGTGGTATTTGAATTATTCCCACATGTAAATGTAAGTTTTGTTTCATTTTAATTTTGGACTTAATTCTAATAATTTGGAGCATTTGTAAGTAGAGATCTATTAACATACTATATCCAGGGTTTTCTTCCCTAAAAACAGCTACTTGAATTAAAAAAAAAAAAAAAAAGAAAGTTTTAGTATTGGCATTCCTAAAATTTTAGTGAATGATGTATTATATTTGATGTTAGACATTAACTGCCAAAAGACTACAAAGTGGCCATCTTCCTGAAAATTGGTCTGTAATTACATTTTTATATTTTATCACTTTGAGTGTTTTCAGAAAACTTTGCCTGTATTTATATATGGTATAGCTATGAAGCCAGTGTCAAAATCAATCCGTTTACTGTGAATTAGAATATATTTTCACTGTTTGATGGAAACAGTTGTTACATGTGCTGATTTTAACTATTCAATTTAGGTATAAAACTGTTCCTTGAAGAGATTGTGTTAATTTTCTCTTTTCCTTTTTAGGTTTTATATGAACAATTCAAGTTTTTCTTGAATCTCTATTTTCTGGTAGTATCCTGCTCACAATTTGTACCAGCATTGAAAATAGGCTATCTCTACACCTACTGGGCTCCTCTGGTAAAAAGAAAAAGACTTCTAAAATTAAGCTAAATTATTAAGTACTTACAAGTAGTCTAAGAGTTAAGACGGTTAAAAGATAAATTGACCAGATTTTTAAAGCATGGTGTTCTTGCTGTGTCATTGAACGTGTGTGAAGAGTGTCTGGGTGCTGTGGGTGATTTCAGCCCTTTAGACCCTATAGGAGGGGAGGGCAGTTGTAGCCCTTAGGGCTTCAGTGGGAGGGGTCACTGGCTAAGGAGGGCAGGTCTGACAAGTTGCTGGGGACGAGCTGGGAATTGTGGGTGCTTTTGAGTTACTCCTAAGATGCTAACCAGTGGGGATCCTAAAGTGTCTGAACGGGGTGCGCGTGACTTCTGGGTGGGTTCTCAGTGTCTGAAGTTTCTGAAAGGCTGGTGCTGCTCATCATTGAATGTGTCCATTTCATATGTTGTCTTGATACTTTCATGCTGGCTCTTTACAGGTTTCACTACTTTTCAGCTTGTAGTGATGAGATGTACTCCTTCTTCCTACAAAAAATATGCTGCTTCCTTTTTTGGAAAGGGTCTGTCAGTAGTGTGAGTTGAAAGAGTCTGAAGCCTTTCCCCAGCTGACTGAGTGCACCCCTCTTGGCCAAGGGAATGTCCCAAAACTGAGTTGCTGGCCATGAGAAGGGGGGTCAGACAGTTCTCCTTATGCCCCCTTCTTGGGGGTGTCCTTTAAAACCCCTTAACAGGCCTAAGGCCATGCAAGACAGAGCTTAGACCACAGCTGCAGGTCCTCAGTTTGCTTAACAAATCACTTGAGTTTGGGCATGTGGCTGGTATCTGACATCCTTATCTTAAAATATTTGAAGTCTTTTAGATAATTTTGATTTGTAAATATGGAAATGAAGAGTCTTTAAACCTTCTTGTATCTAAAACATGTAAGTCCCCACTTTGAGATGTCCCACGTTTTCAGGCCAAACACATGTATGCCATTGATGTACTGATTTTATGACCACCCTGTAGCTCCAGTCTCCCTGAAGTGTGTGGAGCTGTAACCCAACCCCACTGAGTCCACTCGCTCAGGGCTTGATTCTTGGTTGTCGTGGCTCCAGGTCATGGTCCTCGAATTGCTCAGAGTAACTGTGTAAGTTATTTCACAGAGTTTGGCTTTTCTGCAGACAGTGGGGGCCACCTGAGCATGGCCTTCTAAGTGGGAGGGCCAAGCATTCTGCTGCTAGTTATGCCGGCCCTGTCTGAGTACCCAAAGGCCTTTGGGTGATGCAGGAGAGCCCTTGTCTGCAGGGCAGGTACAGGCAGCCTCTGTGCTCACCCCTTGGGAAAGGCCTGCTGAGGAGTTTCTGATTTCCCTTTTGTATCAACTTCATAGTGGGGTGTATTTGAGAGGACAGGAAGTAATTCTTCCCCCACCAACAGAAAAATCAGCCCCGATGAGTAACTTTATGTGTGCAGTGCCACAGTTGAGGCTAAGGAGGCTCGCATGAAATTTGGACAGACCAGAGAAAAATTAGGAGCACAAGGTAGCTCTGACATGCCCCTTCACTCATCTTGCGGGAGGGGGGGGTTGCAGGTGAGCCGGCATAAGCAGTTTTCCCCCATGGGAAGTCCACCACAAAGAGTCTGAGGGCGGGAAGCCTTGGAGCCTTGTACAGCTGCGACTGGACTCAGTCACTTACCTATGGCTACTCAAAACAGTCTGGCACCTCCTGGCCTTGACAAGAAGGCCTAGTTGACTCATCTTCCCACACTATCCCTTGAGGGTTTCTCACCTCACAATCTATGGGGTAAAGTCTTTCCAAGTGTCTCCTAAGTGTCCCTGGGCAAGTAGGGCATTGCAGCCATTTACAGCAAAAAAGACATGTGGCCCAGACATTCCTGTCCAGCAGGCAGGAGATGGCAATGTAGCTTCTGGGCGACGTCTCGAAAGGGGCAGTTACTGGGCTTTGGTAGGGCGTGTGCTTCATCATTACTTGGATGGGCCAACAGAACATGCCTGGTGACGTGGCAGACTGTCACCTGTTTCTGGTGTCCCAGCTCCCATAACTCTTGTACAAGGCCTGGCCCCACATGGCCATCCATAGGGTCGGCCCCTCAAAGACAGCCCAGCTGTGTACCAATCACTCACAGCAGTTAGTGACTGCCAACCATGGTGCTTAGAACTCTGTCCAGTGACGTACTTTCTAATCTGTCATGCAAGTAGTTTCTCTTGGCAAATGGAAAGCTCTAGCCATCTAGCACACAGGCTGCCCTGACTGGAGCCATTGCAGAAATCAGGGTGCACCCTTCCTCGAAGGGGCTAGCTTTTATTTGCCTGTGTGTGTTGCACCCTAGCCTCTGTGCAGGTCACGGGCCCAACACTTCCTGGTCAGTGTGTGTTGGGTTGTGGCTGAGGGCACCATGCCCTTGGGGTTTCCATTTGTGCTGTGCCACGTCTGGCTCAGGGGTCCAGCCCATGCCCAACCCATGATGGGGTATGTTATACATGGGCTATGGCTGTCACATTCATGCCAGGAGGGCCACAGAGAGCTACGAGAGCAGGGCCAGCAGGGCCTCGCTGGTTTGTGCCTTGCTGGGTGGACCTGCTTCTGCCTCTTCCTTGGCCTGGTCAGGGAGGGCAGCATCTCCTCACTGGCCCACTGGATCTGTCTGGTGCCTCCACAGCTGGCCAGTGCTCTCAGTCACTGTTGTTCACCTGGTGCTCCCTAGCTCCCCTGAGCTCGGTGGCCTCTTTCTCTAGATGTGACATCTGGGACTCAACTCCCTGAGGTCGGTCTGCTGCTGCTGGGCCCTACTTGGTTGGCCTGGGCATCCCAGCCCCGCTTGCCTCCATGGACCGGATTCTCTGAGCTGTGAGTCCCTTTCCCTGGCTTCTGTGAGCTGCCCATGGAGACCACTCAGCACCTCACATTTACTTCTCACCTCTACTTCGGAGGACTATGACTTGCTGTGCAGCTCAGCCACCTGCTGCCCTGGCAACATGGCCAGTCTGTGTGTGGCATGGCTCTTGGCTGGGCCCATCCCTCCCCTCTCACCTTGCTAGCTGCCTGCAGCTACAGGACCTATTTTTTGAAGGTGGCTACCTAGGCATCCCGAGCCTTCTGCTGCTGCCCCTCCTCCTGAGCCCATTCTGACTTCCCCGTCAACCTCCTGACTGATCTGCTGAGTCTGCTGGAGCTCAGCCAGCTGCACACACTGCCCACTGTCTACCTGGCTCAGGAAGCTTCTCAGGATGGGGTTTTCTTGTTGCGGATGGGCCAGCTGAGAGTTGGGGCCATTCTCCAGCTGCTCCTGAGGAGTCTGGGTCTTGCCCTGGTTTGGTGTCCTCTCTGCCTCTTTGCCTTGACAGGGGAACCCCTCTGCTTCCTCTTCCAGCAGAGGATCTTGGAGGCGAAGAGCTGGCACGTCTGGCCTCTGCCTCCCCTGGTTCTGCTGCTTCTCTGTTTTTAGCCTGTCATTTCTGGTGGCACCACTGCGCAGAAGCAAGCTGCTGTCGTGATCCTAGCAGCGGGTGTTAGACTTTCTGTCAGTCTCATGCGGTTCAGACCTGCTGATGGACGGTTTGCCCATACCCGAGAGCACGTGACCTTCACTGTCTTTACGGCTTCCTCACCCCGTGGTGCTTTCTCACTAGCAGCCCCAACTCCCTTTTTGTCATATAGTCTCCACCTCCATTTGTTGGTCACCCCACATAAGGTGCCAGTATTGCCACCAAGGACTTAAGCAGGGCAGAGGGTGCGCTGTGCAGCAGTGTCCTGTCCCCACACAAGCTGTAAAGCGTTCGTCATTGGCTCTAGACAGTCGAGTTAAACATGGCATCCCGCACACCCAGTTCCCAAAGAACCTGCTGCATTTCCAAACTGCCAGCGACTAACAGGGACTGGCCGGTCCCCAGCGTTAGACCACATGGTGCAGACTGTGACCATGACCCTGTCCAGCAGGAGCAGGTACCTTGGCCATGCTGGTAGCAATTCTGCAAGTGGTCTGGCAAGGACAGGTGTGTCCAGGGCACCCAGGACAACGCTGTCCACCCCGTGATCCCATAAACGTAATGTCCCAGCAGCTAGGGACTTGTAAGTTCTCTGACTGAGCTCTCTCCACCAACTCTGTCTGGGTCTGGACAAAAGGAGAAGTGTCTAGTCACTTCTCCGGGTACGGCTGCCTGCCCTCCTGAGCCCTTGGTTGTTGCATTTTTACCTTTTTTGTGACCATTGGCCCTGCCCTAAAGCAGGGTTTGTCTTCCTCTTCCAAGGAGTCTGTCACCGCCACCATGGGAGAATTCACCTGATCCGGGGAGTCATTCTGCCGCCCTCCTCCAGAAGCCATCTCGTGTCCCCCAGTACCCTACCTGGGGAGTCATACTGCTGCCCTTTGAGGCGCCTCCCCGTCTTCTGCAGGATACTGCGCTGCTGCTGCTCGGCCTCCAACTGCCTCCTCGAGTATTGCCTTGGTTTCTGCTCTCAGACCTATACAGAACACGAGCCCTTGGCCCCCAGTTATATGGACGCTTTCCTTCCCAAAGGCCTCTCCCATGTGTGGAGTGCCCTTTTGACACACAGTGGTGCCCTGCCCACATTGGGCCACTCCTGGGGGGAGGGCAGGTAGACAACAGGTGAGCCACCAAGTGCCATATACCCGTGCCAGGCAATCCACTCTGTCCCCTGTAGGAGTGTGGAGGGCTCCACACTGGTCTGTGATGAATCCTGCCAATGACGACAATGCCAGTTGTAGTCCTGGTAGTGGAGGAAGAGGAGGTTCGTGTGGGATTCGCACAAACCAGAAAAACCAAAGAGCCACAGACAGGCAGGTGCAACAGGCCCTTGATCCAGCTTGTGGAGGGAGATGAGTAGGCATTAGAAGTTTTCAGGAGGTCGTGGGACATCTGGGATGCCATGCATAAGAAGGCCCTTACTGGGCAGTGCCTGTGGCTCAAAGGAGAGGGTGCTGGCCCTATATGCCAGAGGTGGTGGGTTCAAACCCAGCCCTGGCCAAAAACTGCAAAAAAAAAAAAAGATAAAT